CCCCAAAACCCCAAAACCCCAAAACCCCAAAACCCCAAAACCCCTTGCTTTATAACATTTATTGATATATAATAAGCCAGGTCAGATTTTATCTATGGAGCTTTAAAAATTCAAAGATAAAGATTATGAAATAACTTATTCAACAAAGTTTCATCTTAGCTCTTGATCATTGATACCTTTGAGCAGGTATAGCACTCAGTAAATAGCCAGTGGCATATATTTCTGGTCAAATCAATAGTTTCGTTCTTTGTTAGCTGAATATCCTTTCCTCTTTCTTGTAGGAAAACAGTAACAAATTCATTTCAAATCTCTGGAGCGTGCTCAGCGTTATTGATGACCGAGAACTCTCTTCCTTTTGCCTTCTCACGAAGCTCTCTAGCCTTAGCTAAGATAATATCTGAAGCAGGGGTTATCATTGTGGTATTTTCTATATCTTCACTAGCCCCGTTTTGATTGAGCACTTCATCATTCTCTGATTTCTTCTCCCAGCCGTATTTGTTGAGACACTCCCTGTAAGCAATGATGAACGTCATCATTGTTTTATAATAATCTGAGTTAACCTTCTTTGAAATTTCATACAGATAGATAGAGAATACTTCATCAGAGCTGAGTTTACTTCTCTCTTCTTCTGGCAAATTACTAATGTCTCTGGATAAATAGGTAGTATTTTCTGGATCAACAAACAATGAATCTAGATTTTCACTCCCTTTCATCTCTTCTGGATTATCAGCTCCTTCAGCATGTCCATTTTTAGATGAGCCATTCTTCTCCACCTCTGAGCTCTTTTTGTTGTGGATACCTTCAGAAAGATCCTTAACAAACTCTGCATCTTTGGCAAACTTCTCGAGATATTTATACAATGGAAATTCCTTGAAGGTAGTGTATTGTGTGTACTTAAAATCTGCTAGAACTTCTTCAAATCCATCGATAGGGTTAGTTGGACCTCCATCTCTGCCATCACTCTTGAAATATTCCTCTGTAGTAGGGTCAATTCTTTTCTGAGTCTATATTAGCCTTATATGACAAAGAATATTTGATTCGATACTTACATTCTTTCTGGGTCTTCCTCTCCCTCTTCCACTGAATACAGGAAGTACAGGTTTTCCATCATTCCCATCGGAGTGCTTCAACTTGGTGTGAGTGTACAAGGCTGGATAAGAAAGATAGGTTTTGTCTCATTTGTCTCATTTAAAGTTTCTTCCATCATTATCTTTCTTTGAGCGTCTTTTTGACTTATTCCCAGTATCGTTAGCTGAGTTGCTCACAGATGCCGCTTCGTCTCTTCTAAATATGATAAATATGGCAAAAATCGCTTTCTAAATAATTAGAATCTTCTTAATGTCGTCCTTAAAATCTGAGCTTTGTAATCTAGCTCCCAAAATTTTCATGCGTTCCAAGTTTAAATTTTCTCGGAAGTTGTAAACTAAATCTTTGCACTTACGAAAGTCTTTGATCTTGGTCGTTCGAACCTAAATTTGTAGAATTCATTTGTAATTAAAAATTACAATTAATTTATCTAAAGAAGGGGTTTTGGGGTTTTGGGGTTTTGGGGTTTTGGGGTTTTGGGG